CAAGATCACTCTTCACTCTACCTAGTTCTTCTTGAAGTTATTTGTTTTTCTCAAGCTCAACACACAGACTAGATTTCACTAAATTTAACTCACTTTCAAGCTTAATGTATGCCTCACTTGAAACTTTCTTTCCTTTTTGAGTGTTCCCAGGCCTACTTTCCATTTTTAGTTCCTCAATTGTTTTCTTTGGGTCTATACCCACAACTAAATTGGTCATCTCGCTCATGCTTAATGTTAACAACCTTCTTAGTTAAAACCTCTTTCTCTTTCTTCAGACTCTCAATGGTTTCTTCTAAGTCTACAACCCGAACTTCAAGATCTTCTCAAGATTGTTCTGCTTCTCCCAGTTCCACAGTTAAGGCATCGTTATCATTTATAAGACTATGATACGTATCAATTAAAACACTAGCCAAAGACATGTTTTTTCGAAGAATAATACTTTAGATTTCTTTGAACATCAAAGAAGTTTACCTCATCATCATCATCTTCTTCATCCTCATCAGATCAATGCAAATATGGAATCGTATTTTGCAGCTTTGCTTTCAGCGGCCATCATGGAGGTGTCTTCCTTTTCATTATCACCCTCAAATTCACTAGAGGAATCTCCCTAGGTAGCCAGAGCTTGCTTTACAATATTGTTAGCGACATCACTTCTCTTGAACTTTCTGTCGGGGACCAGGTTCCTCTTACCCACCTTGTCAGCATTGAGTTTTTAATGGACCTGATTGTAGAGAGGACAATCTTTGATAAAATGTCCTAATTTTCTGCACTTGTGACTACAATCGTATCCTTTAGTGTTTCTGCTAGAGCTACCCTTCTTGGGAATGCCTCCATTTCTACTAATTATTTTCTTAAATCTTGGTGGCTTGTAGGTTGATCGACCTTCCTCAAAGTCTGGTAGAGCATCCATGTAGATTCTTTCTAGGTATTAACCTTTTAGAAAGAACCCGCTCTGATACCAATTGTTAGAAACTTAGCGTCCACCAAACTGTATAGAGAACAGGGTTCTCTGTGAGTTTTCACTTAAAATACTGATGAACTAGACTGTATAGCAATTTGGTCCTATATCAGTTTGGTACAGTGCTAACTACTGAACAAGTATGTAAATGAGACACACGATAAGTTCCCACTGTATAGAGAACCAGATTCTCTATAAGTTTCCACTATAAGCAACAGACTGTAAAACCAGGCAGTATAGGGAATCGGGTTCTCTATTTGTTCCCACAGTAGCTCGGCAGTAAATAAAGAACACAGAGGATTTTTACGTGGAAAAATCACAACTCAAGGGGACAAAACCACGACCTACACTTGTAGGCTTTCAACTTCACTAACTTGTAAACCCTTATTACAAGCCACTTTGTAATAACTCTATTACAAAGGATTCAACTCAACTAACTTGTGGTATTCTCACTACAAGCCACTTTGTGACTCTCTAGTTACAAAAACTTTGACTAACTTGTGATACTCTCACCACAAGCCACTTTGGCACTCTCTAGTGACAAAAACTTTAATCACTCTAACTTGTAATAACACTATTACAAGCTACTTTGTAACTTTCTAATTACAAAGACTTTACAACTCGACCAACTCTAGCCAAGATACAAACTTGGAGGGTTTGTGATTTTGGGTTTCTTAAAAACAGCTTCTAAGAAAGCAAGATATGAGTTACAATGAAGAACAATTAACAAAGACTCAACAAACCTAAAGACTTAAGATATCTTCAATCTTGGATCCGGTCCTTGAGGTTGCAGCAGCTTTGTTCTTGAGAGAGGTTGTTGCTAGCAACTAAGAGAATATTTCCTTTTCTGATTTTGCAAGTATTGAAAAATGTCTTGTGACTTGCACCAGGTTTATACTACAAAAAACATCACCTTAGTGATGTCAAATCTTGGTTAGTACATGCCTTTTCTCAATGGGAAGTAACTGTTGCACTGTTGCGTGTACAGTTGCAGGCAGTCACTTTCTACAGTTGCTTTCCAGCTGTACAGTTGACTTATACTTCTGTCAGGGAAACACCAAGGGATCAGGTCCCTAATCTGGTTCTTGTAAGTCTAAAGGCACACTGCCCAGATTATCTTAAGTCGATTAACTTGAATGATTGTGCCAGGCATGCTTCAGGTCCTTTATCTGGTTCTCTCATGAAGTAAGTCATTTTACCTTCCTTGATTGTATTTATACGTGTGTGACATCACTTACAATGATGTAAGCAAGGTAGGTAAAAAGTCTTCCACAGAAAGTTGACTGTTACACTGTTCCTGTACAATAGCGTGTGCAGGCAGCAACTTTCTTGCTGAAGAGTTGACTTCATACAGTCTCCTCGGGAACTGGTAGGGACCTGTTCCCTAAGTTGTTCCTTCTACTCTTCCTCACTTAAGTCATTGCTATCAGCTTTGAGTACCAGGTTCTTTTCTTTCTTTGGTTCTCTTCTTTCACTGTCTATCTTCCTCTTCATCTCCTAGGTCTTCAGATTTCCAACCAGCTCTTCTATGGTCAGCTCCTGCAGGTCCTTTGATTCAGTAATAGCATTTGCCTTGCTTTCCCAAGGGCTAGATCCCAACCTGGAACTTTGTGATCTCAAGATCTTGTAAATGTGTAACAAGTTCCTTATCTAGTTCTGGATGGTAAGTTTGTTAAATTATCAAAACACAAAGTAAAGTACTTATGCCCAAGGTACTTGTTACCTATCAATACTGTTCATGGCAAAACCAATGAATGGAACCTTTAGAAAAGATTCCAGCAACACATTAACACATCAAAGAAAGTGTTAGGTTTTTAAATCTCTCTCTAATGAATACATGAAGGTCCAAAAATAGTACTAACATTTCTTGTTGAGTCAGATAACTATTTCATAAACATCTTAAAATAAACAAATTTATAATAAGGCGATTGAGAAGGATCAAACGTAAGAGTGAAAGAACTAATCCATGTGAATTCACCATCCACCTTAGTAGATGGAAGATCTTGAAATTCTTGTGGGGTTACAAACAAAATTGATTCCACTACTGAAAAGCCAGAGTAAAAGACCATTGCACGATTGTGAAATCTTGAAGCTGTGCCCAAGAAATAAAAGGGAAGGCAGAACAATTTTCCAGCTGGATAAAGAAACATAATTGATTTAATTAGTAACAGAATTATAGATGAAGAATCCACAAGGGAAAAGAAAAGTGGGGTTGTTTTGAATAGTAGTTGTTGTAAGACCATGGGCAAAGTAAGGGTCGGAGACAAAAGAAAATCATTGTTTGGATACCAATTAATTAATTTGAAGGTTATCAAGGATTTTACAGGTAAACTGAGAAAAATTTGGGTTAGAATATTTTCATTATAACTAATAATCTCTGCAGACGTTTGATCAGATGAACTTTTTGACTTTTTCATCACTCTGTCTTGCAGCTTTTGCAATGAAGCGAGAATACTTTGACGAAGTAAACAATGACTAGCTTAACTAATCAAACTCATTAATCGGATTAATTCAACTTCCTTCGAAAATGATTTTTTTTTTTTAATTTTCAGATCACGAAATCAAAACTTCATATTAAGAGTGAAAATATCTCATTCATCCAACCAGAATAGCACGAATGACTACCTTATTACTCCTTAAGTTCACTTTTATTTGACACGTTTTGACTTTTCACACTCTTTAAGGAATAATAAATGAAGTGCGTAATTTACCATGATACACATATTAATTGATGTATATTTTATTGAATTTGATAAAATGATTTGAAATGAGTAATAAATATTGTAGGTACAATAGGGAAAAAATTTGTTTTCTCTTGATATGCGTAAAGTGACAAGTAAAAATGAAAATATATTTTTAGTACACATGCCATAAAAGTGAATGGAGGGAGTATATTATAAAGAATGACTACCCTTATTATATAGACCTCCGCTTTAGTAACATTCAGACTTCCTTCTAGATTAAGGAATATCATAAATAACCCCTATGTGTAGATAAAAATTAACGGCATTAAATTCTAGCACATTTTGATCTTAACGCCATCCTTTTAAGTTTTTACCATTATGTCCCCTGACAAATTTAACTTTTCGTTGAAGAAGAAAATAAATGCAACTAGACAAACAACCATTTGGCTAAACACATTAATTTTTGAATCTATCAGCTAGAAGTTAATACAGATGGTGAAAATATAAGATATCTAATGCAAATTAAAAATCGAATAACAGCTTACTGATAGAATTGCTTATTTGTTTCTTGTTGATCATGTTAATTGGTTTGACTGAGCCGTTGTTAACTTCATTTTACTTTGAAATTTTGATAATGATGCAACTAATGGGCATCTGAGGTCTTCACTATAAATTTGAAAGCAATTCACTTGTGTTAATGGGGTAAGAATGAGTACCTTAATTAAGTTAGGATTTAGTAACTTGTATATAATGTAGATATTAAAGTTGAAATCTTTATTACAGTTAGTGCAACTGGCCTCCTTTAGGAGTTAAGATTATGTAGATCATTGGCAACTAAAATTCATCCTAAAATTTTACGTTTTGACAATAATATAATCTAAGCTTGCTTAGATAGATTTTAAGCAGCATATTTTTTCTTCTTTTCTCCTCTTTTACACAGAATTTATATTTCTTTAGGCGTATAAATATACACAGCATAACTAACCATATCCATCTCCAAGACTTGCAGCTTTCTAATTACCTTCATGCACACCAATGCTCATTTTCAATGCTTTGAACTATAATATACATAAATAGTTAAATATCCTGCGAAAAATAGTACTACATATTTATATTTAGTCAATACATAGTCATAAAAGACGTAGTGGTACGGTAGTACTTACAAAAGAAGGAATGCTTCATCGATGGAGCTCGTACACGTTATAGGCAAATCTCGGGCGAGTTCAACTGAATCCACTACTTTTAGCTCAAGTCACTTATAGCTATCCAAAAAAGTTAAAAATATAAATATATAATAGATCACAACCATTTAAGCATGTTAACTCTAAATCTTGAATTCTCCTATGATACATGTACGATTAAAATTTTGGATCCGCATCTGATACATGCTTGTCTCTGTTGCTCCATTGACGTCTCATTCTTGGAGAAACTGCCACTACTGAATTCTTCACACAACAGGGCTTAGGCTTAATCCTCCATGGAAAAAACATGTCAAGCCCACATGATGCTGCCTTGGGCAATTTGTTACTACCAATTTCTTCATCATCTAATAAATTCTTCCTATTATTTTCCAAAGCAGATGAAATAGCTAGTTCCTTTGCATCTTGAAGAAATCTCTGAATAATGAAATTTGGTACCGATGGCCTATTATTAGTACTCCAATCGTACGAATCCTCGATATTTGTTGAAGTATTTGATTTTCTATGTTCTGTTTCAATCTTGTCGTCTATCGACTCCCCTAATGAAAAAACATCAAGAGCATCTGAGAAAACATCATGGTTGTCATTTCTAACATCATTTTCGTCGTCATGATCATCGTTGTCAATATCATCATCGTAGACGTTAGTACTTGTTACAGCTTCTTTTCTTGTATGCCACATGCATGGTGGTAATTTTGGAGGTGGTACAATTTCAATGTTTGTTACCATTTCCTTTGGTTTTCCAGGACTTTGCTCCCAAGAAAATGGCACTCTGTTAAAAATTTCCAATGAAAGTTGAGGTGGGATATTTGTGCTAGACAATGGCTTTTCACTAGAACGCCTAGTTGACAAGAGAGGAGCACTCAAATCTAATTTTCCTGAGCATTTTTCTTTCTCTTCTAGTTGTTTTTCCATGTATGTTTTTAAGATGTCAAGATACTACATCTATAACAATGAAGATAAAAGTTATGACATGACAAAAGTTGAACATTTGTGTGAGTATGGTTAAAAAGTTTAGAAGTTGTCATAATTGTCAATAGTTGGAGCTATGGGTTTCTCGTGGAGTTCAGCTAAAAGAGTGCAACTTTTATTTGGTCACGTCACAGGTTACTCAAGACGAGAAACATTTTTATGCCGCATGGCTTCGAACTGTGCTTTTATGTTATGGCCAGAATATCTTTGTAGTACGAATGATTACCAATATTTAGTTGCATTAAAAGAAGCTACATACGGTGATGGATATAACATGTTTGCTACGGATTCAAGCGGACCTAGCATTTTTCATATAGAATATATATTTCTACGTAATAGTTACTAAATTTTCAATAAATATTAAAGTGCGAACTGATAATTCTAGAAGTTTAATAGGTCTAACAGCTAGATTTTAAAGGTCGAACACATCAAATTTATAATGACACTACATAGAAGGTGAACATCCACTCTTGGAAAAAAGAAAAAAATAAACAAGAGAGAACAAAGAAGAAAAGATGGAAAGTGATGAAATGAGAAAAAGAGATATAAGACATTTATAGTCTGAATATTCACCCGAATCCTTTTCCTAACTTACTGCCATGGAAAACTATCACATTGGTACAAGTAAAATCAGAAGTTTGAAGTATGTAACAGTCTCTTAGCACACAAAGAATTGTCTCAACAAAGTTTAGACATTCATTGCAAGCTGCAATTTTGATGAAAAAATTCCTTTCAGTTTCGAAGATACATTGTAGAACTGTCTTTGCGGTGGGACAAAGACAATAAAAAGTATCTGAAGTATCCTACTCTATCAAATTCACAAATACTTCGCTATGGTTGACCAAAAAATTTATGTACAGTTGATTCACTCATTCTCTTCAGTAGCTCTCTCCGTTCGAGATTTTGATCTTTAATTTCTTGTTCTTTTGTTGCAATTGAGCATGCATAATGGTCATTGCAAATCCAGTTTGAATATCTATATGACAAAAAATTTAGAACTCTGAGCACATAGTATGCATTGAACCTGTGTGTACCACAAAAAATTTAGGCACTGGCTCCCAATTCCCAAATAACAATCATGAAGAAGAAGCTCAATATGGATTCTTTCTTCTTCACGTTGGTAGTTGTTCTTTAGCTCGTTGCTGTACTTTCTGATAGAGCTCAAGTGTATCTGCATGCCTGGATTCGAGACACAGAGCTGCCTCACAGTCTCGAATAGCAGATGTGAGGTCACCCATTGAGTCATGAAATGCTGCTCGAAGATGGAGTACTTGTAAGTCTGGCTTGAAAGAAATTGCCTTTGTTAGCTCCGCTATAGCCTCGGTTTCCTTATGGTCATCCATCAGAACTGAAGACAAGATATTCCAGAATTACTTTCTCAGTTAGAAACTTGTAGCAAAGTATATTATTACAACACATTAGGACATAAGGTCTGCAATAAACGAGATACAAAGTGAGTGAGGGGAAGGCAGACACAATGCATAGGGCCGGGCCTTTGTCAGAGCGAAATGTTTCATGTTATGTACTAATCCATGTTCAACAAACTACTCTACCACTTCTAGGTCAGTTCAATAAGCTGAATGGCCTAGAGTCTAGGTGTTCGAAAACATTTTACAACCTAAGGGCAGAATAATGCCGAGATGAAAAAAGAGAGGGACTGGCCCCCAGGGCCGAGCTCAAGTGGCAAAGGGTGGTGGATTTGTGTCTTGGGTCACAGGTTCAAGCCCCCACACCATGCAAAGCAAAGTCTGGTATTTAAGTGGAGAAGGGTAGAGGGGCGGGCCCATTATCCACCGAGTTTCGAAGGCTGCGGTTGGTCCAATGGATCGGCCCTAGACAGATTTCTCGGTCATCAAAAAAAAAAAGAGAGAGAGGGACTGAGTTCAACTATCGTGTTCTCAGACAAGTTAACCAAGGAAATGTGAAAAAAAAATTGTTTTTCCATTCTTAAAAAACTTTGATCAGATGGCATTTTTTTTAAGGCCATTGAATACCAAAAAACTCAGAGATGCATAAAGGTCTTGTTCCATAAACAAAATAGATATGATAGTTGGGACATCAATTCCTATATACTGATGCCCCAAAAAACAAAAATAAGGAAAAAGTGACATTTTAAGACAGTAGTTAGATATTCAAGCAAAAGAGCCTGGGGACTGTGAACCTCTCTAATAGCTCCTCCGATAAGAAACTGACGGATGAATTTGATGCTGTGTCCTAAGGAGAGTAGCATGATGATGATACGAATTGAGGTTAAAGAAAGAAGTGAGGATTCATATTGCCGATCCCAAGGCATAGTTGTCGTAGTTGTTGTGTCCTTGGGAGAGTAACTACTCAATTCTTGGGCAATTGTAAGTGTAGGACTGTATGTAAGTACAATTTAACCCAGCTTTTGACCACAACTGAAAGGAGCTTCAACTCATTTTCTTTGCACAAATATACTATAATATATCAGTTAAAGAGCAGAGTCACTTTAATCCTGACTGCTGTTATGCAGTTTTACACAATACATTCAAATGGCAATAATTTACAAACTGCTGTACAGTTTTACGAATGCTTGGATGCAGTTACCTGTCCTTCAATTGGAAAGCATTCTTTCCAAGCAAGACTCTTCTTCCAAATTGGTCTAGAATTAGAACCGTGAAATACAAGTAGAAATATCATGATTCGTTAAATTACTAGACTAATTTTACTTCTGTTACCACCACTTGCGTTCACCCTGTGGGCCCTGAGACTTGGTTGGACAGGAAAAGTTCAAGTGAATTCAAAAGAACAATCACATAATGTCCATGGTAATCATGAGCATACATGATGCCAAAGCATGTCTGGTTTACCATTTGATGATCTTTTAGACATTATAAGCATGTTGAAGGAGAGGATTCGTGGAGTTTGGTTAAACCTCACCAGAACACGAGGAAACACAATCAATCACTCTGTACTCAACTAGTATGGCGTGAGAATAAGCCAAGTGTAACTTACCAGCTGCTCTGTATCTGTATGGGTATGTTCGGAGGGGATCTAACTTTGTTGCCATACCAAGGTCACTTTTAGCCATTTCACGATCACAGTATTCCGAACGCTTCTCATAAGCAGATGCATTATATTTTGCCTTCTCAATCAACTTTGTCATCTCATCATATGCTAATTTCCTCTGATCTTTTAGATGGTAAACACGTGCCAGACCCTGATGGGCTCGTGTATGCTTAATATTCAGGGCATTTGTGTAGCAATCAATTGCATTATCTAGCTTATCAACATCTACATAGACACTTGCTAGATTACTGAGAGCCTGCAGTGTGCATTGTAGTTTTCCAGTAAATCTCTTGTTCCCCAAATTCATGCATTAGTATCTTACTGAAAGGAACACTCACCTGGCCTTTCCGGAGACCATCTGAGGGGCACCTAAGAGCTTCCTCAAGCAGTTGTATAACATACAATGAAGATTCAGAATCAGGACTTGTTTCTGATAATACATATGCTTTAAGGAAAAAGGCTTCAAATGATCTCTGGATTGAGATTGATTCTTCAGCTTTAGCAATTGCTTCTTCACGATAACCTGTGTCATATAATATCCATCCTTCATAGACTAGCCTTTCATGCTCAGAGGTTGCTTGGTTTCGTGCTTCTCTCAAACTACGCATTGCTGCCTTGTGGCTGTTTAATCTGTAAACAAGTGCAAATCAGTCCCAGGGAGCGTAAAGAGAAACTACTCGATACATCTCCCAGGTATTCACATTCAGCTTCTCGAGCATGAGACAGGGAGTTAAGCATCTAACTTATACAATCACTCATAGATTTCCATTTTCCTGGACAAAAGTATCTCACTGAGGAAAACTAGATAGTATTGATATTATGCAGTTTATCAATGGCTTTAAGCCCCTAGAGCTTAAATTTCTTCAGAGTGGCTGAAAGCAAATAGAACAGCACATAAAGATGAATTGGACCAAACATGATTGTCAACAACAGAGAAACTAAAATGTATGTAAATAATAAATGCATACCGTAGAAGTAGGAGAGATTGNAGACTCTTCCCTGGGTCGTTGGCTAACATATGATGGACAACAGCTAAGGAGCCAATATCATCTACAGAAGACCATCGGTCATATAGTTGCATCCAGCAGTCAGCCTGACTGCACGGCTGAACATTATGACTTAGAATCTCTACCAAGTGTTCACCTTGCAACTTCCCATGGAACATCATGTAACGGGGATTTAAAGTCAAGAGTGCCCGTGCATCCCTTAAAGCTCCTTCATAGTCCTCCAGCACAATTAAAAACCAAGCACGAAGCTCTAGGCAGTCTGGAGATATCTTAAAGCCAAGTATCCTGTTAATCTCAGAAATAGCTCGACCAAGTCTATTCTCCTCTGCCATTGAAACAGCTCTGTACTTGTATGGATAGGAAAGAGTTGGATCCAGTTCAGTAGCTGTACTCAAATCCATTGTCTTTTCTTTTCCTTGACAATACATTGATCGCTCCTGATACATCCACCCAGAAGGTGTATAATCAGATACGAGGGAGTTCATCAACTTATATGCCTTGTACATATGCCCGCGCTTGTACTTGGATCTGGCAATTCCTACTAAGGAATAAACATGACCCGCTTCAACAGCTGCCTCGAACCATTTCTGTGCATCCTTGTACTCTTTTCTTTCAAGCATCACACAACCTAATTGGTGGAACGCTAGTTGCTTCTGCCAGCTTTCACTTGCACATTCTCCCATCCTTTCCAACAGCATAACCGTTGTATTCGATTTCAAGTCATC